CCCAGGAGGTTATCCCAGGAGGTTACATCCCAGGAGGTTACATCCCAGGAGGTTATCCCAGGAGGTTACATCCCAGGAGGTTACATCCCAGGAGGTTACATCCCAGGAGGTTACATCCCAGGAGGTTACGTCCCATCCCAGGAGGTTACGTCCCAGGAGGTTACATCCCAGGAGGTTACATCCCAGGAGGTTACATCCCGTCCCAGGAGGTTATCCCAGGAGGTCCCAGGAGGTTACGTCCCAGGAGGTTACGTCCCAGGAGGTTACGTCCCAGGAGGTTACATCCCAGGAGGTTACGTCCCAGGAGGTTACATCCCAGGAGGTTACATCCCAGGAGGTTACATCCCAGGAGGTTACATCCCAGGAGGTTACATCCCAGGAGGTTACGTCCCAGGAGGTTACGTCCCAGGAGGTTACATCCCAGGAGGTTACGTCCCAGGAGGTTACATCCCAGGAGGTTACATCCCAGGAGGTTACGTCCCAGGAGGTTACGTCCCAGGAGGTTACGTCCCAGGAGGTTACATCCCAGGAGGTTGAGAATTGTGGTAATATTTGAAAAATGTCCAGAAACAACATATTTCTTAGAGCTGATTTTTACAAATATATTTTATCTCAGGGTGGATTATACGTTGGAAATAATTTGAGATTAGCAGCTCCAATGGAGTTTAATACTGTCAAATGATTTGAGGCTTGATAATGATGAGAGTTACAGGATATCAGCTGGATGGTGTTTAGATTGTGATGTCGAATTGCGAAAGAGATCTCAGCGCCATGATTAGTAAGAATTGAAAGCCCAAGAATCAATGTATAAATGTTCGATATAATGCAAATAGGACACTGGGATATATTTCTAGAAGCGTTAGTAACTAAACCCCTGGTGGTATTCTTCAGCTGAATCTTGCTGCTGTTAGGCCTCATTTGGATTATGCAATTCAGTTTGGGTCGCCATACTATTGAATGGATATATATTCATTAGAACGCGTCCAGCGTTGGATGACGCTGGACGCGTCATCAACGTCAACTCAATACCACATACCAACAATACTCAATACCGTCGTCAACTTAATACCACAAAATAGAAACCTGTGATATGAAGAGAACTGACAAAGCTTAATTTACGTTCTCTATAGAAGCGAAGAGTTATGGGTGACATGATTAAAGTGTACATGTGGACAAATTGGCATAATAAAAGGGATATTAATAGGGTATTGAATATATCAACACAGAATAGAGCACGAAACAATGTTTATAAGTTGAATAAGTATAGATTTAGGAAAGACCTGTGTGAATACTGGTTCGGTAACAGGGTCGCTTTGTGGAACCAATTATCCGATAACATAGGATACCTTACACTACACAACTACACAGAAATCACAATAGCGTGATGCATCATATAAACAAATCCACAAGGGCCGTGACGAGGATTCGAACCTACGTCCGAGAGGCAGCGTCTGGGATGCTCTCGGACGTAGGTTCGAATCCTCATCAAGGCCCTTGTGGATTTGTTCGCCTTGATTGTTTCAGGCGTTGATTGATGAAGATTAAGCCACCCAAAAGGTGGCACGGGCATGAATAGCCCGTAAGTGGTGGCCCTTTTGAGCCATTACCAGTATCAAGAGCTGATACTGGAGATCTGTGGAGGTGCGAATGCACCCTGCATGACGGGAGATAAGTGGTGGCCATTTTAAGCCATCACCAGTATCAATAGATGATACTGGAGATCTGTGGAGGTGCTACTGCACCCTGCGTGACGGGAGATGTCTCCCGGACCAAGTGGTGACCAGATGGTGGTTTCAGGCGTAGGTTAGACATATAAATGAATGAGTTTGGGTGGATATATAGGAGCTGCCTCGTATGGGCCAATAGACCTTCTACCGTTTTTTTTATTCTTATGTTCTTATCTATGCTTCTCCTCTCCAGACTCCCTCCCTCTCCCTCTCCACATTATTTTCAACGTTGTATACAAAAGGGTGAACTGAGCTGAACATACGTTTTCAAAGACAATATTTGAACTAATTAATATTTAAATCAATGCTATAGTTTATATACTTCAGGCTGAACATGATATTTACATCTCTGTTCTAGGATAGTCAAAATGACGAGTTACTTATAATGGTCATAATAGATTATACTTCGGGTTAATGTTATGTTGAATAGTAAAAGAAAAGTTGGAGACCTTTCCAATGTATAGTATTGCACACAGTAGAAGTGACTGTATCCTGCAGATAGTTTAAATTTAAGATGCGACCAATTTCTACCCTCAACTAATTTTAAAATTCCTTTCTCCAACACTTCCAAACAATGATCAATCGCTCTCGAACCCTCTCCATTATTCTCCCTCGATTATCGCTAATGTGACTTGTATCAAACTTCTTTTCATGCTCACATTCCACCCATTAACCCCTCCTGTTTTTTTTCCGAAACCTTCTTCCATATTCATTCCCTTTCTACAATCACTTCCTCTTTCCCTTCAACTCCTTTTTTATTTTACCTCTCCTTCGTTTTATTTCCCATATTTTACCTATACCTATATAGTCCAAAATATTCTTGTCTTAAACCTTTACACACCTTAAAACTTGCACCTAAAATATCTCCCCCACCTGGAAATCTCACCTAATCCCCATGTATCCTCCAGCATGGAACCTTGTAACATTCTTCGTAGGCGTCTTTGTAAGCCTCTTTATATTCCCTTTCTTCTAAGCCACCACAACAATACACCAAATGTTAGGTCTACACCCGCCAGCTGACTACACTTTAGTTTGCCAATATTTAATAAGGAAAATATTAAAAATGGAAGAGATAGATATGTTTAACCATATTTTCCACCTGTTTAACCCTCATCTTTTCCATTCCAACAGATACCTTTCCCAATTCTCTTTATCCTTCCTACTGTTCCTGCATTACCAGCCCAATGCTGGGAAATCCTCCTCTTCTCAAACTCTCGATCAATTCATCTTGTTCTTCACTGTCCAGCAAATAATTCCTCCTCTGTTGACCAGACCACACACTAGAAGTTGAAGGGACGACGACGTTTCGGTCTTCTTTCCTCCTCGGTCAATTTCGGTCAATTCCTCCTCTCCCTGACCCACAACACTCTCCCCAAGTGCAGATGATGAGTCACAATAACGTGGCTGAAGATATGATGACCAAACTACACACCAGAAGATGAAACGACGACGTTTCGGTTCGTCCTGGACCATAATCAACTCGTGTGTATCTTAATGACATGCGATAAATGGTCCAGGACGGACCTCCAGCATGAAGATGAAGAAACGTCGTCGTCTCTTCATCTTCTGGTGTGTGGTCATCAAAACTCTCCCCTCCCCCCCAGCCTCACTCCAGACGTTTGCTCCTCTCACCCTGCCGGCCCTTCAATCCCCCTTTCTCCCTCTACTCAGAATTGAGTTTGGTTATCACAGATATCACAGAAACAAGGTTTCTGTGATATTTGTTTAAAATGTAGGAGGGAATTTCTCCTTTTTCCCTGCTTATTTATAGCTTCTGTTTTAGTGCACTGGTTTTAATCTTGTTTTATTAACATTATCTTGGTGGCGGATGTAGATGCAGAACGCTCACTAATGAGTCCCATAAGAAAATGGAATACTTGGAGGGGCCACGAAAGCCTGGTGGATAGCGCGCAGGACTCGTAATTCTGTGGCTCGGGTTCGATTCCCGCACGAGGCAGAAACAAATGGGCAAAGTTTCTTTCACCCTGAATGCCCCTGTTACCTAGCAGTAAATAGGTACTCGGGAGTTAGTCAGCTGTCACGGGCTGCTTCCTGGGGGTGGAGGCCTGGTCGAGGACCGGGCCGCGGGGACACTAAAAAGCCCCGAAATCATCTCAAGATAACTTCCAAACATATTGATATCATAAAGTAATAACACAATAATATAATCACGTAATAACAAGGTATAGAGCACATAGTACATTACTCCCTCTTTCATGTTCTGCCTCTTTTATAGGTGTAGGTGAAGGTGTTTATAGGGATCAAGACACTTTCGTTGTAGCTTGCTACAACGAAAACAAGATGAGAAGAGTGTAAAGGGAAAATCTAGACACCCTAGACCGGGCACCGCCGGTTACCCCCATCTGTTAAGGAAATATGCAGAAGCCACAATAGCGTGGATGTAAACAATAACTCATCCCTCATAAATTAAGTGAGAAGAGTGAGGGGGATTGGCAGTCCTTTATCAAGTAGAAATGTCACTTTCATGGCATATATGAGAGTTGAGATAGGGGAGGATATAATTAAGTAGATTAAACTGATTGGTTGCGTTGAGCCACTCTAAGAGTCGATTTAAATATAAATAATAATATCAGCTGTCTCAATATTGAAGGTGGACGGATTTTTTCTGAACCATATCTCCATACAGGAAAACTAACTCCATACAGGAAAATTTATGGGAAAAACTGCATTTAAAAAAATCAGATTTATATATGAGGCATATGAAAAAAGTTCATTCAGTGAATACATATGGATATCGAAAAGGTACAGTAATTCATTGAAAACAATCCAGTAATTTATTGAAAACAATCCAGTAATTTATTGAAAACAATCCAGTAATTTATTGAAAACATTGTTTCAAGTAAATTAACTTGTTTGAGTATATATTTAGGGCGCATCTCCGAGGGAAGTTTTCCTTATGTAAATGTTCTAAGGATGGTTAAAATAAATAATTTTGAAGAAACATGCTAAATTTATAAATGTGTATATTCCTCTGAAATCATAAGTAGTCAATAAAACATTGTAGCTATTCATTTGTATTTACTTTAGAAATATTGTACAAAATCCATTTTAACACGTAATTAATGCATGCAACCTACAAAATAAACTCAGTAAACAGAGTAATTTATTGAGTTTGGTAATTTTCGACCTGATTAAGACATTTTCACATTAAACACATTGTTATCTTCCTCACAATTTGTAGTCTGGCTCAGTGGTAGACATGCAAAGGGAGGCCCTGGCTGACCGGGTTTGAATCCTTCAGGGGTCAAGAGGTTACTGATGCATGTTGGCTTGGGAATCTTTCAAGCTTGACAAACAGTTGAAGGTGTACCGGCACAAAGCCTGCGGCAGTGAAGAAATAATTGGTCCGTAACCCTGAGCGTTGTCATAGAGCTCAAAAAATGGAGAAGCCACAAGCTTGTAGTTCTTCGGTACTGCAAAAAAGGCTTTCTCCCCAAGCTGTACAAGGAAAAGTTTCTTGTGTTCCTTGGGCTTTGAAATATGTGGAGGTATATATGGATACTGTGGAGGCTCAAAATTGGGTCTCCACCAGTTGCCAACGATGTCTTCAATAGCCCACTCCTGCTGGTCGCCACCACTTTGCCCCCCGAGTGTCTCTCTCAGTAGTCGCTTGACACCTTCCACCTCATCTTCGTCTGTGTTCAGTTCTCCGCCGGGTAGTTTAAAGAACGTGGGACCTACCTGGAGCAGGAGGAGGTGAGGGAGGCCGTGTTCATGGACTAGGAGGACGGCCTCAACACTTCTGCGCATGCCAGTCTTGTCAAACTCTTCCCGCATCCTCTGGAACCTCGCTGAAACACTGGCATCTCTCTCCACGAGAGCATCTTTAGATCCAAATGTGTAGTTCGTCACGGGATATAGATTCATTGATGGCATAAGCGACATTTTTTTAAGACGGTAGAGTTGAGTTTGTCGGCCAGCAAGTGGAAACCGCTTCACTTTCACCTAGTTAAAGACAAGCTAACGAGCTTGTTAAAACTGATGTTGTTTTAGATTTAGCTACTCGGAATGAAATGTCCATAGACGGGCTCCTAGCATTCGCTTTTATGACCGCTATCTTCACGTGACCTCTCTGAGTCAATAAGGACATCTATGAAGGTCAAGATTACACACCTTATGATCTTATAAGAACATATGAGTAAAGGAAACTGCAGAAGGCCTATTGGCCCATACGAGTAGCTCCTATTTATAACCACCCAATCCCACTCACATGTACAACCCACATTTGAAACAATCGAGGTGGACCCCACCTCCATCACGTTACGAGGTAATTGGTTCCACAAATCAACAACCCTGTTACCGAACCAGTACATACCCAAGTCTGTCCTAAATCTAAACTTATCCAATTTATTCCCATTGTTTCGTGTTCTGTCTTGTGTTGATACTTTTAATACCCTATTAATATACCCTTTGTTATGCCCCTTCATCCACTTATAAACCTATAACGTGTCACCCCTAACTCTTCATCTTACAGTGAATACAATTTAAGCTTTTTTAATCTTTCTTCATATGACAGATTTCTAATTTGGGGAATTAACTTTGTCATCCTACGCTGGACACGTTCAAGTGAATTTGTATCCATTCTATAGTACGGCGACTAAAACTGAACTGAATAATCTAAATGGGGCCTAACCAGAGCAAGAAATAGCTGAAGAAGAATACCAGGTGACTTGTTACTAACGCTTCGATTAGGCCTATTGGCCTAATTAATAAGGCCACTGGGATTAATAAATCCAAGTGTCCTATTTGCCTTAATACGAACATTCATGCATTAATCTTTTGATTTTAAATTCTTACTAATCATAACTCCAAGATCCCTTTCGCAATCCGACTTCACAATCTCAACACCATCTAGCTCTTATCTTGCAACTTTATCATCATTACCTAGCCTCAGAACTTTACATTTATCTGCATTAAACTGCATCTGCCAATCTTTTGACCATTTCCAAAACCCTACTTAGATCGACTTGAAGTGACAGTGAGTCTTCCGTGTTAATTTCCCTACCAATTTTTGTATCATTAGCAAATTTGCAAATGTTGCTACTCAAACCAGAATCTAAATCATTTCTATATATTATAAACAACAGAGGTCCCAGGACAGAGCCTTGAGGCACTCCACTTACAACATTTTCCCACTCTAACTTGACCCCATTTATAATAACTCTGTTTCCTTTGGTATAGCCATGCCCTAATCCAACTTAATATACCACCTCCAATACCATGAGACTATCTTTTTTATCAGTCTTTCATGTGGCACTGTATCAAAAGCTTTGCTAAAGTCAAGGTACACAACATCACAATCATAAGAACATAAGAACAAAAGTAAGTGCAGAAGGCCTATTGGCCCATACGAGGCAGCTCCTATTTATAACCACCGAATCCCACTCATATACATGTCCAACCCGCGCTTGAAACAATAGAGGGACCCCACCTCCACAATGTTACGCGGCAATTGGTTCCACAAATCAACAACCCCGTTACTGAACCAGTATTTACCCAAGTCTTTCCTAAATCTAAACTTATCCAATTTATACCCATTGTTTCGTGTTCTGTCTTGTGTTGATACTTTTAATACCCTATTAATATCCCCTTTGTTATGTCCATTCACCCACTTGTAAACCTCTATTATGTCACCCCTAACTCTTCGCCGTTCCAGTGAATGCAACATAAGCTTTGTTAATCTTTCTTCATATAAAAGATTTCTAATTTGGGGAATTAACTTAGTCATCCTACGCTGGACACGTTCAAGTGAATTTATATCCATTCTATAATATGGCGACCAAAACTGAACTGCATAATCTAAATGGTGCCTAACTAGAGCAAGATATAGCTTGAGAACCACACCAGGGGTGTCTTGTTACTAACGCTGCGATTAATAAATCCAAGTGTCCGATTTGCCTTATTACGAACATTTATGCATTGATCCTTTTGTTTTAAATTCTTACTAATCATAACTCCCAGATCCCTTTCGCAATCTCAACACCATCTAGCACCATCTATTTATGCATTGATCCTTTTGTTTTAAATTCTTACTAATCATAACTCCCAGATCCCTTTCGCAATCCGACTTCGCAATCTCAACACCATCTAGCTCGTATCTTGTAACTATCATCATTACCTAACCTCAGAACTTTACATTTATCAGCATTAAACTGTATCTGCCAATCCTTTGACCATTTCAAAACCCTATCTATATCAACTTGAAGTGATAGTGAGTCCTCCTCCGAATTAATTTCCCTATCGATTTTCGTATCATCGGCAAATTTGCAAATGTTGCTACTCAAACCTGAATCTAAATCATTTATATATATTATAAACAACAGAGGTCCCAGGACAGAGCCTTGAGGCACTCCACTTACAACATTTTCCCACTCTGACTTGATTCCATTTATACTAACTCTCTGTTTCCTTTGGTATAGCCATGCCCTAATCCAGCTTAATATAGCACCCCCAATACCATGAGACTATCTTTTTAATCAGTCTTTCATGTGGCACTGTATCAAAAGCTTTGCTAAAGTCAAGGTACACAACATCGCAATCCTTACCACTATCAACTGCCTCAACAATGCTAGAATAAAAAGATAAATTTGTTAAACATGAACGGCCATTTATAAAACCATGTTGCGACTCAATTATTAATTTATGTTTTTCAAGATGAAGACGAATTTTATTTGCTATTATAGATTCGAGTAACTTTCCCACAATAGACGTTAGGCTAATTGGTCGATAGTTAGACGCAAGTGATCTATCTCCTTTCTTAAAAACTGGTATCACATTAGCAACTTTCCAAAACTCTGGCACTCTGCCTGACTCTATTGATTTATTAAATATGGTTGACAGTGGGTCACAAAGCTCCTCTTTGCATTCTTTAAGCACCCTGGCAAACACTTCATCCGGCCATGGGGATTTGTTTGGTTTGAGTTTTACTATTTGTTTAAGAACATCCTCCCTGGTAACTGCTAAACTCGTCAACCTGTCCTCGTCCCCACCCACAGACTTGTTCGGCTGAAGGCATATTGTTAAGTTCCTCTTTAGTAAATACAGATACAAAATATTTATTAAAAATACTACTCATCTCTTCATCACTATCTGTTATTTGACCTGTCTCAGTTTTTAATGGACCTATCCTTTTGACCTATCATAGTCATCCTTTCTTAGTAGGATGACTAAGATAAGGGGAATTATCTTAGTCATCCTACGCTGGACACGTTCAAGTGAATTTATATCCATTCTATAGTACGGCGACCAAAACCGGACTGCATAATCTAAATGGGGCCTAACCAGAGCAAGATATAGCTGAAGAACCACACTAGGTGTCTTGTTACTAACGGGTGAGGGTGGGGCACGTTGGGTGAGGGTGGGGCACGTTGGGGTAAGGGGCACGTTGGGTGAGGGGGGCACGTGTGGTGAGGGGGCACGTTGGGTGAGGGGGTCACGTGGGGTGAGGGGGCGCGTTGGGTGAGGGGGGCACGTTGGGTGAGCAGGGGCACGTGGGGTGAGGGGGCACGTTGGGTGAGGGGGGCACGTTGGGTGAGGGGGGCACGCTGGGTGAGGGGGGGCACGTGGGGCGAGAAGGGGCACGTGGGGTGAGGGGGACACGTGCGGTGAGGAGGACACGTGCATGAGCGGCACGTGGGGTGAGGGCACGTGGGGTGAGGAGGGCACGTGGGGAGAGAAAGGGCACGTGGGATGAGGTGGGGCACGTGTGGTGAGGGGGGCACGTGGGGTGAGGGGGGGGGAACGTGCGGTGAGGGTGGCACGTGGGGTGAGGGGGGGCACGTGCGGTGAGGGGGCACGTGGGGTGAGGGGGGCACGTGGGGTGAGAGGGGGCACGTGGGGTGAGGGGGCACGTGGGGTGAGGGGTGCACGTGGGGTGAGGGTGCACGTGGGGCGAGGGGGGCACGTTTGGTGAGGGGGGCACGTGGGGCGAGAAGGGGTACGTGGGGTGAGAGGGACACGTGCGGTGAGGGGGACACGTGCGGTGAGGAGGACACGTGCATGAGGGGCACGTGGGGTGAGGGCACGTGGGGTGAGGAGGGCACGTGGGGAGAGAAGGGGCACGTGGGATGAGGTGGGGCACATGTGGTGAGGGGGGCACGTGGGGTGAGGGGGCACGTGGGGTGAGGGGTGCACGTGGGGTGAGGGGTGCACGTGGGGTGAGGGGTGCACGTGGGGTGAGGGGTGCACGTGGGGCGAGGGGGGGGCACGTTTGGTGAGGGGGGCACGTGGGCGAGAAGGGGCACGTGGGGCGAGAAGGGGCATGTGGGGTGAGGGGGGCATGTGGGGTGAGGGGAAGAACGTGCGGTGAGGGGGGGAACGTGCGGTGAGGGGGGCACGAGGGGTGAGGGGGGGCACGTGGGGTGAGGGGGGGCACGTTGGGTGAGGGGGGGAACGTGCGGTGAGGGGGGCATGTTGGGGTGAGGGAGGCATGTTGGGGTGAGGGGGGCATGTTGGGGTGAGGGGGGCACGTGGCGTGAGGGGGGGGCACGTGGGGTGAGGGGGGCACGTGGGGTGAAGGCGGAACGTGCGGCGAGGGGGGCACGTTGGGGTGAGGGGGGCACGTTGGGGTAAGGGGGCACGTTGGGGTAAGGGGGCACGTTGGGTGAGGGGGGCACGTTGGGTGAGGGTGGGGCACGTTGGGGTAAGGGGGCACGTTGGGTGAGGGGGCACGTTGGGTGAGGGGATCACGTGGGGTGAGGGGGCGCGTTGGGTGAGGGGGGGCACGTTGGGTGAGGGGGGGCACATGGGGCGAGAAGAGGCACGTGGGGCGAGATGGGGCACGTGGGGCGAGATGGGGCACGTGCATGAGGGGCACGTTGGGTGAGGGGGACACGTGCGGTGAGGAGGACACGTGCATGAGGGGCACGTGGGGTGAGGGCACGAGG